CTGGGTCTTCTATAAGAGCAGCCAGTGTGCTGAACCATCTCTCCAACCTGAAAGAGCACATTAAAAGTTGCCTGGGCTCTGGGGGGTGAGGTAGGAAGACTGGATTTTGATAGCTAACAAGTAGCAGTTTTTTTGTATGTGGGTGTAGTAATGAAATATCCTAAAATAGATTGTGATAATGGATGTGCACCTGTGAATATACTAAAAACCAGTGACCTGGACATATCAAATGGGGGCCTTATAAGGTGAGTTAGGTATCAATAAAGCTACTAGCTGTTACAGGGTCAGGGGTATAGCTTTGCTAGAGCAGGCACGGAGAATTCGTGAAGCCCTGAGTTTGATGCCCAGCACCAACCATGATAATACCAACAAAAAAGGTTTTTAAATTTGTCAGAAGGATATAGCAGAAAAAGTGAATAAACGAGATAAGAACAGACACATATTCCAGACAGAAGAGAACATGGTCTTGTAGACAGGAATGGTTTGAATTTTCTCTTCATCATTTGCTGCATGAGGGAGTTCCCCAAGGTTTAGTCAACGCTACTAGGGTTAATAATGAGATAACCCTTCAAAACGCTCAGCTACAGGGACACACTGTCCCAAAAAGACAAAAACAAAACAAAACAAAATAAAAACTTGGATATAGAAAAGAATTTGTAGATTCCAAAATACTCAGCCATTACTCCTGAGCACTTATGTGTATGCCCAAGAAACTGACATGCTTAGATAGGGGGTCATACATCAATCGGCTTGCTCATTGCGGCATTAATTACGGGAACAACGATGTTTTTTGCTTCATGAAGTAGTTGAAACGTGTTAACAATCATACAGTGGAATATTCTCTAGCAGTTAAATGCAACAGATTGAATCTGTATTAATGACAAAAGAAGAAAGATCATGCAGAGTAAAGAAAATTGAAGTGATGAATGAATTGTGATGATTCCTGTGTAGATTTGAATAAAATCAATTTACCGACCCTAGTATCAACCATTGGTTATGGCAAAAATGCTTTTCTTTCAAACTCTTAAAGAATAAATTGGGAGAAAATGTATTCAATTCCCCAAAGTATTTTTACTACTCTAGTAAGAAGGGAAGTAGAAAGGAAATATGGCCAAGCAGGGTAATTAAATGATACTTCAGTTTTGTATCTAAATATCTATGTTTTTCATTAAAAATAAAAGATTCCAAGTTTTAAAAAATGTTCAGCTGCCTACAAAAAGTCTCCTCTGCATGCAGCAATATTTTAGTTGAGTGGTAGGTGTGTGGGTATTCATTTTATCTCTTTATAGCTCTTTACAGCTTTATATAAAAAAGATTTATAGCTTTATATAGCTCTTTAACTCTTTGTAGCTATACAGCATATGTTTTTTTTCCATGTATCAAATACCATATATCTTTTTTGGTTTTGTGTTGTGAGATAGTCTCACACTATAACCCTGTCCTTAAACTCAAAGAGCTCCTCCTCTGTCTCCTGAGTTCTGTGATTACAGTTGTGAGTCACCACACCTAGCCTTACCACACATCTTTAAAAACTAATCATAATGAGCAAGTGAGACAGCTCAGTGGGTAAAGGTACTTGCCACCAAGGCTGATTACCTGAGTTTAATCGCTGGGACCTATATGATGGAAGGAGAGAATTGACTCTCAGAAGTTGTCCTCTGACCTCCATCTGCACACCATCGCACATGCATACACACAGACACAAACTCACAGATACACAAACACACATCACACACACACACGAATAAATGTAATTAAATTTTTTCTTAAATAATAAAAGGGGCTGGAGAGATGGCTCAGCAGTTAAGAGCATGTACTAAAGAAAAAACTTATGATAGTGCCAGGGTGGTAGCTCAGTGGTGGGGTGCATGTTAGCTTGTGTTAGGTCCCAGCTCTGGGTTGCCTTCTTTGCATCACACACACACACACATACCCTGGCTAAAAAACAAAAACAAACAAAAAACATGGATATGCCTGGGGACCAGATAATTTCATCCCATTTTCTTCTCTTTTTTTCTATTTATTTTCATTTTATGTATATGTGTGCACCACATGTATGCAGTGCTCACAGAGGCCAAAAGGGAGCCTTGGTTGCCCTGGAACTGTAGTTACAGATGGTTATTAGTTGCCATGTGGGTGTTAGGAACTGAACCCAGGTCCTCTGCAAGAGCAACTGGACTCATCTCTCCAGCTCCCAAATTTTATTCCATTTTCATGGCAGTAGCATTTCCCTCCCATCAAAAAGAAACTTGGCCCAGTGCCTTGCTAATCCTTCTCTGGGATAACACTTTGAACCATTCCTTCCTAGTTAACCTGCACTAGGCACAACTTTAAAACTGGACAGCTTTGGGAAGAGTAGCAGCATTCTGTTCACTGGTAATAGTGGCAGCATTCAGCTGAACATCTAGAGACATTACACATTTATCCTGGCACTACCCCCAAGGGTGTGGACTCTTAGGATCTGGCTCCTGCAAAGCTACTTTTCAAACCCTATTGATCTGGTCTCATTCAGGAAAGAGAGCATCCCATATCCTCTGGTGCCTGATACTCCCTGTCTAAGATCTTATTCTCTGGTGTGGTTTAGTGACTTTTGAGAGAAGTAATGGACTATGTTTTGACAATTTACACTGTAATATGACAATTCATCAGTAGAAACTCAAGCTTTGTGAGTGGGGCATGCCTGTAATCCCTCAGGAGGCTAAAATACAAGGCCAGCCTGGGCTACACAGTGAGACTCTGTCTAAAATAAAATTAAATAAGTAAATAAATAAGTAAATAAAAAATAAATAAGCAAATAAAGTAGTATCACCACCACCCACTCAATAATTGGACATTTTCTTTTCTCTGTGCCTAGAGTTCTACCCCATTATTTCTCCTGCTGCCAGCCCATCAAAGCATCCAGAAATGAGTCACTGATTGAGGGAGAGATTCACTCAGCACAACCCTCAAGGCACCCTAGACTTTAAACCTATAAGTAAGAGTCTACACCTGGGAAGAGCAAAGGAATCACACATCTGATTACGACTTAACTACTTAGGTCACAGGTCAGACATGAGAGCAGGTCGTGACTGAAACCCTCTAGATAACATAGAAATGATTAGCTACTTGGAACAGAAAATGCACAACTTTCTTTTTCTTTGACTTTTCCAGATGGGGGTCTCATGTAGCCCAGGCTAGCCACATAAATAATATTTATCAGCAAAGAAGAAAAACAATTATAGCATCTAATTGCAATATAGAGGAAAAAGTACAATTTTTGGTGATACACATACGCAAGGATTATTCTTGTCCATCATTTATCCTTCATGAAAAGTAATTTCAAAGAAGTCTCCTTCCTGAAAAAGCACACACATACACAAGCATACACAGAAATGTGCATGCCTGGGCTCACTACACACACAGAGACATACGCCAATGCACACCCCCCATTAGACCTCTGATTACAGAAAGGTTAAGACCTAAATATGTGCCCAGCTGACAAGTCTCATCAAGGAGAAGCCAGAAGCAAGGGCTCCCTTTGACCCTAGAGACATCTTCTCTGAATTAAAACTTCTAAGGTCATTGACCTCATCACCTCAGGCTCCATAAGCAACTGAGAAGGTTTTAGACAAGACCTCCAGCCAGTTCAACCGGAAGTTATTAACATTTTCACAACAAAAATGGTCTATACAAGTCTCAAGCAAATCACACATTATCAACTGAAACAGATACCACAGATAACATTTGCTGATGGAAATATTAGTCAAAACCCAATGTAATGCTTACACTTTAAACACAGAACTCTCTGGGCTCTAAGAAAACATCATCTGAACCTCGGGCTTCAGAATTTTTGTCAATTGCTACAATACAGTTATAGTCACTTATTGCCCCTTCCAGTCCCATATGAAAGTTTAATTAAACCACAATGACTCATTCAGTCCTTCATATAAAACTTAAGGGCCCAATTAATTAGCCACCTCACACTTAAAGTTCCAGTGGGTAGAAACATGGTAACTCTACCTGTAACTACATTTCCTATAACAATTAAGAAGAAAATGAAGGCTTTAAAAGGTCTAAAAGGTAAATCTTCTAGAGCTGATGAAAATAATGCCTCAAAATTAGTAAGCTTATACAATGAAATTAGAAACTCACTCCAGGTGCTAGGGAGATGGATCAATTAATTAGCAAAGCACCTGCCTTGCAATGATAAGTATCTGAGCTCAATCTCTAGAACCCCATAATGCTGGGTGTGGTGGCCTGCCCAGGGAATCCCAGTGTTGAGGAGGTAGAGACAGAAGATCCCTGGGGCTCACTATTTAGCCATTCTAACCTAACTGGTAAGTATCAAGCCAATGAGAAACTATCTTAAAGGAATGAATGGCCTTCCTGAAGATGTTACCCAAGGCCGTCCACACACAACAGGCATACACAAACACTCTTAAAATAAAAAAAAAAAAATCATGGGGCTGGAGAGATGGCTCAGTGGGTAAGAGCACCTGCTGCTCTTGCAGAGGACCCAGGTTCAAATCCCAGCACCCACATGGTGGCTAACCACAGTTCGAACTCCAGTTCCAGGGGATCCAACACCCTCTTCTGACCTCTGAGGGCATTGCACAACACAGGTACATTTACATGCAGGCAATACACTCATGCATAAAACAATAAATACAATTAAAAAAATCACTCCATACAGTGAAGCCCACTTAGACAATCCCTTAAGTTAAAGGAAAATGCTGGACCAGCATGATGGCTCAGTAGGTAAAGGTGCCTGCTGCTAAATGTGCTGTCCTAAATTCAATCCCCAGGCCCCACATGATAGAAGGGGAGAATTGACTCCCACAAGTTGTCTTCCGACCGCTACAATGTGCTGTGGCGTGCACACACACATACACACACACAAAAGTAAATAAAAATGCAATAAATATTTTCAAAGGGAAATGTCACTCATAGTTCATATCTACTATGCAAAAAGATTATAGCAGAATATATTGGTGTAGAAAACACCCAGGATTAATACTTACACAGCCTCCAGCAAGGATTTCTGCTGGCAGTGGAATGGAGCCATCTCTTCTGGTAAATTTGTCCCGGACAAAATCATTAACCTAATTAGAAAGGCAATATTAGTTAATCAGAATTCCCAGCCATTCCATCTGTTGGCACACTGCTACATTCCAAGTCAGCAAAACACCTGTCTCATGATAAAAGTAAAATTTTATCAAGTGTCTACAACACATGTAAAATTTTACAAGTCCTTCATAGTACATCAATCTCACCGGCATCACTTTTATTTTTAGCTAATTATAATCTAAGTAAATGACACAAATTCAATGAGAAGGACACTTACAGTCAATTTAATGGCCTTTTCTGGAGCAACTCCTATAAGTTGTGGTATCAGACCTAGGCAGAAGGAGAGAATTATTTGTTATATATATGAATGTATAAGCCCAATAGGGACTGCTTCCTTGATAGCTATGCATCGGCTATCAAGGTTTTCATTTAAATAGAGAAAAAAGATTATCCTAAAAACCTCTGTATATGTATGTAACAATTATTTACAAGTTGAATATAATGTTATTTTCTTGAGGTTATGTTTTTCTTAAGCATCCTAAAAAAAGCCTTAATTATCCAACATCTTCCAAAAGATACATGAGGAAAGAATGGAGCCTATGCCGGAGCATCGCCGATAAGCGTGTAACCAAAATGCCTCCTGTTACCAGCAGCAACACACAACACGCACTTCGGAGCGCCAGTGCTTCACACCCGGAAAGGCTCTGTGCAGTGTGCTTACGCACACTCAGATTTTGCCACAGACAATATACCTGTAGCGTACAGGAGCTGCTTGGTTACTATAAAATACCAACTCCCATAGTTTTCTCTTTAGAGAAGCCCAGCACTCAGTATTCATGTATTTAAAAGAAAGCCACAACTGTAAAGAAAAATGTAGCTCTTAGTATCTTTTAATGTGTACTCTCTATAAGTGAAAACATACACCAATTGTATTTTTTATTTACTAATATATGTCAAGCTTAAGACATTTGAAAAGAATCTTCTCAAAACAAAAGAAATCATTATTTTTAGAAAGCTAAATTTCCCAGGCTGACCACAAACTGGAAAAGAAAAGTCATAAATAAACAATTGAACATCTGTAGACATTCTTGAGGCTCAGCTTACTAAAGCACACAGCTTACCCAAATTGTTAGCATATTTTTTTGCACACATTTTTTAAAGATGCTAACAATAAACATCCTCCAGCCTTTAAACCATCCAGCTAAGGGGGAGTGATACCTGTGTTTGCACGCTTGCTCACTGCTGATCTTAAGCCTACTTGGAAGAGGATGCTGAGTGATTTTCCATGAGCTGAGAGCCAGCAGGTAATCGTGCATACAGGCTACTGTCAGTCAAACTAAATTATCAGGGACAAACACAAATCCATACACACCTTTCATGGGTAGCAGTCTGATTTAAAAGAAGAAATCAGTAGATGGCAGTCTTAACTCTCTAACCTTCATGATTATCAGACCCTATTACTTTTAATCTAACTCCCATCCAACCATGTCAGCATGTGTATTTGTTTTACGCTTGCCTCACAAAGCTCATGGAATTTTAATAAAGTACTGATTTGTGTCATTTTACCATTGTTGCCTACAAAGAAATTTAGTTAATCTGTCAACAACTTTGTCAATCATCTGACAGAATAATGGGCCAGTTCTAAGCAACATATGACAATCTCAATAATCACAGTGCTCACATATAAGATTCTACAATTATCTACCCAATACAAAAGTCTCTCATTTAAAGGACCGATTTCCCCAATTCAGATCCTACATAAAGCTAACAGTACCCCCACACACACTTGCTATAGTGCACCCACTTAATTAATATGACAGCTCTCTCAGATGAATTCTATAAGCCCCTGTCCATTGAGAAGGTCACAATATGCCTTATAGAGCTAGGTTCCTTCTAACCATCTCCTTTAGACACGCTTTGTAATTTAAAACCATACTAATTAAGAGGAAAATCATTATTCAGTAATGAAAGACTGGAGATGTCAAAGAAATAAACAACCTTACTGCCACTCAACCCTGATCCCCCATTAAATAAGATCTAGGTATGCAAAGTTTAAAACAAGACTTTGTACCTCCAGCTCTGCACATGCAGGGCAGCAGCCACCATGGCTTCCTGTGAAGTGCAAGCTGTGTACTAGGAGTTACAGAGCCTAAGCATCCCGAATATCTAAGTGGACTTCATTTCATTCATTCCCAGGAGCAAGCCATTGAGCCTCACTGCTCCATATACAATGCCCACAACAGACACCTGGACGACCTTCTTCCACTCTGTGTCCACTCGAATGTCTGATCGCGATGCTAATCGCAGGTGTCCATGAGCATAAAGCTTTGTTCAGTCCCAGTCTTTCTTTCTGGGAAAGGTTCTAAGCCAAACAGTTCAACAGCGCTCAGAATGAGGGGGATGAATAAGCCTGGGTATGCAAACAAACAAGCACAGCGCATCGTACAAATGCGCCGGACTAGAGCATGTTGAGAGTATTTCAAAGAATTCCAAGTGGCGCCCAAAGGGATTAAAAAATTAATCTCCCCCCAAAAGGAACCCTAAATTCTAATGTGAAAACATGTAGATGAAAGCCTTCTCTCTCCAAAGAGGACAAGTTTCTACAAAGCCCACCGGGCCCAGGAGAATTCTGCATGGGACTGTAGTCTGGGATGCGACAGCTCGGCACTCAGTCTAGTGCTGGTAAAACAGTTCCTTTGAGAGGAAAGCTCTGCTCTGCCTATGTGCCTCAGAGCTAGGCGAGGAGAAGACTGAAGCTTGGAGCCCTGGGGTTTTCTGGCCTTTTTAAATTCAGATGACTCATTTTAAGACTCATCACTGATCTCCTGAGAAAGCACAAAAATTTCGTTCTTTCAATTGAAGTAAGTATACTCAGAGAGCAAGCCATCCTTCAAGTAGCAGCCTAGCTTCTGCTTAAGGGGCTCGCTCTGCAGGTCTGTGCCTTGAAAGGACACAGTAACATAGACTCTTGTTGGGAGAAACACAGGATTTGGATTCTAAGAAATAAAAAGCAGGAAGAAGAAATGAACACCTGTTTGAGACTAATAATACCAGCTCCCAGAATGTAAAACAGAAAATGAGCAGAGGGGAAAAAAGAAACAGCCCTAGTCTAGCTAGGCAAGCAAATATTGGTTTCTATAATGAGCGAGTTAAAATCTGCTGTTGGTGACAGAAAAATCAACTTCAGCGGCTGAGATATGCTTACTCACCTCGGTAGAGTCCAAAGAAGCCCTCATATCGCAAGACTTTCTTAAAACAGTCAAAGCTGTTTTTGTACATCAGCTCCCCAACCACAGAGCCAGTACCACGCTGGTTTTGCATCCGGGTCTTCACCAGATCTATGGGATACACTGCAGTGGCTCCCACAGCTACAAACAGAACAATTCTTAGGCTTGAAAAAGGAACACAATCAGATGGAGTCGCATAAGGTCATCAAATCTTGTCTCTAGTATCCTCGCAGAAGAGATTCACATCACTATCACTCTATTTCCTTTTCTTTGTGGGGGGTGGGGGGGGTAGTGTTTTTGAGACAGGGTCTCTCTCTGTAGGCCCGGCTGGCCTGGAACTCGCTATGTAGACCAGGCTGGGCTTGAACTCACAAAGATCCACCAGCCTCTGCTTAAAGGTGTGCGCCACCATGCCCAGCTATTTCCCTTTTTTTATAAATACAGTCAAAGGTGGCAGAATAGAAACCAGCAGGACCCATACACAGCTGCTTCAAGGACCAACTAGGGTTGGGACAGAACTCAGTGGTAGAGTGCTCAGCATGGGAGAGGCCCTAAAAAAAAGTCAAGACATGCTCTTTGATGTATCAGTTTCATGAGTTAAAAACAGAATATTAAATTGTCACCAATATTAGAAAATCAGCACTCAGTTTCCTATAATGACATTCAACTATTATGTGTATAGTATTTCACTGTATTTTCTAGTAAGTAAGTATTATGCCTGTTACTTTTTCATACTTATGAAATGACTGGACATGTAAGCTTAGTGGTTGTAATTTTAAAGTTTAGTTCACTGAAGCTTCTTGGTAAATTAATCTAAAGTACAATCATATTATTGGGACTAAACCTCAACATGATCCTATCCCTATGAATAGAATTTGGTTAAAAAACAAAAAACACCTAAGATTACACTTTAGAATTTCTCAGGGATGAAATATTTAGCAGGATCTACAGTGTTATATTTGAGGGCCAGTGAAGACCAACAGGTTAAAACAGACTGAAAAAATATTAGTCTCATTAGTTTAGACTTGTTTTGAAAGTTCATCCGCATTTGAATCACACCTGTAAGGTTCTTCTCAACAAAAAAAAACTTCTGATTCTACACATTTTCTTTGCAGAATAAATAAAAATGGTGTCGGGCCAATAAGATGCTCAGCAAGCAAAGGTGCTTGCCACCAAGTGTGATAACCTGAGTTTGATCCCTGGAACTCAAGTGATGGAAGGGGAGACCAACTCCAGCAAATTGTCACTTGACCTACACACACACATACACAGTCCATGGCATGTGCATGTACATGCTCATGCAAACACATATGTGTACGTACACACAAATAAACAAATAAATAAACAATAAATAAAATTGTCTCTCCAATTCCTGCTGTAAACAGAAAGGGGAGGGGAGATTCATTTTAGCAAATAAACTACAGATCTGGATATTCTTATATCATGGAAAGAAGAAAGGAAAAAACACAAGCCAAACAGTCACTGTAAATCACGGGGGAGAGGTAGCTTTATTTCACTGGGTTCTCGGTTTGGATCTTGTTTTCCTACCTACCTGCCCCTGCCCTGACCCCATAAACTCAGTCTTTGTCTCCATTTTTCACGCTGGCCTTAACCAGTGTAATTAAGGTGAGTGCAGTGCTGCACCTCAGACTCTCCCATCATTACAGAGGTTTTACTCTGAAGACAGACTGGAGCCAGAGGGCTACAGCCATGCTATGACAAGTCCTCTGATCACAGGTAAAAATAAAGAACCTTCAGAAAGCCCTGCAGTCCTGAGCCCCAGGAACAATCAACTGTGCCTTTACTGAGCTGTCCCATATGAGATAATGTTACAGCCTTAGCAGCCTCAAACAGCCATAGACACGTCACTCACCTCCAGCAACTGAGCCCAGAGTGAACCTATAAGCAGACTCAGCAATCTGGAGCCAGACAGGCCTGCCCAAGCCAGGAGACTGCTGTGGGGAGGAAGAAAACCAGAAAAAGAATGAGTTTGGAAAAGCATTCAGCAGATGAAAAAAAGCTACAATTTGGCTTTTTCAAGGTAAGAAAAAAGAAAAACCTAAGTGATATTGTTAATGATGTGACTTCTCTGAAAGAAAATAGGATATTAATGTGCTTTTAAAAAACAAACAAAAAAAACCCTCTATTATTAGCATTTAAAGCACATATTCAGGTCAGGCATGGTGGTGCATGCCTTTAATCCCAGCACTAGAGAGGCAAAGGTAAGCAGAGCTCTGTGAGTTTGAGGCTAGCCTGGTCTACATAGTGAGTTCCAGGCTAACCAGGATTATATAGTGAAAGCCTGTCTCAATAAAAAAAAAAAAAATCATATAGCAAAATATACAGTAGCTTTTTCTTATTTTTTCACAAATTTATTCATGGTCATATACTGGCTACTATTGGGGAACACATTGTTATTCTAAAGAAGTCTGTGTATTTGTTTGCTTTTTTTTGCAGTACTAGGAATTGAACCCAAGGTCTCATGCATACTACAAAAATACTCTATCACTGAGCTATACCGCCTGCCCTTCCAGAGTGACGTTTTTAGGTTAGCAAATACACCAGGTATAAAATTTTTCCCCTTAAGTTAAAATTTAGGGAAAAAAAATTCACTCATTGTGTGTGAGAGAGCTTATGCATGCCATGGCACACATGTGGAGGCAAAGGAGGACATTTGGCATTCAGTTCTTTCCTTCCATCACGAGGATCAAGTTCAAGTTATCGGGCTTGGTGGCAAATGCCTCTACACGTTGAGCCATCTCACCGGCCTCCTTTATTAAGGCTTTTTGAGACAGGGTCTCGGACCTCAGGTTGGCCTCAAATTTGCTATGTTGCTGAGGATATCCTTGAACTCCTGATCCTCCTGCCTCCCACATGCTGGGACTATAGGTATGCATCACCATGCCCAATTAAAGGCTTTCTAAAATGTATAAAAATGCATGATTCCTAACTCAGAGAAAATTGATCAAATCTAAAATCACTAATGAAAAATAAATCTTTTTTTAAAAAGGGTAGGGAATGGAAAATACTGGAGAAATGACTCAGCAGTTAACAGTACTTGCTTCTCCTGCAGAGGACTGGAATTCAGTTCCCAGCACTCACATTAGGCACCTCATAACCTCCAACCTCCTGTAATTCTAGCTCCAGGGATCTGACATGTTTTTCACACGCGCACACACACACACTCTTTAAAATCTCTAATGACTACTGTCCTTCCCATATCCATAGGTCTAACATAGAAAAATAAAGCAAAGGAAATAAACCTACTGTGATTCAAAATGCTATTTCATAGGTACCACACCTGAAATAATTTGTCTCTATCAATGTGTCAATCTTGATCTTTAATATTTTTATTATGAAAATATCTGCTATACTATACAAAAAATTGTAACAAAGGAATAAAACATTCACTTTATCATAAAAAACTTTAAAAATACTAGCTTGAAATGAGCTTTTCTTAAAAAAGTGGGCTGATAGATAGCTCAGTAGATCAAAGTACTTACTCTGTAGGCCTGATCATCTAAATTCATCTGAGTTTGAGTACTAGAACCCACAGTGGAAAGAGAGAACTGACTCCTCCAAGTTGTCCTCTGACCTCCACGTGTGCCCCTGGCATATACACATGCACATGTACATGAATACATAATAATAATAATAATAATAACTTTTTTGAAAGCCATTCGCTGGACATGAATTCCAGTAGTAGTAGGGAAATGGTGGCAGCAGTTTCACAAGTTCAAACTCACTCAGTTACATAGTAAGTTCAAGGCCCACCTGAGCTACATGAGACCTTATCTCAAAAAGGAATGTTGAATTAATGTTTATAAAATAAAGCTAGGCATGGGGGTACACACCAATAATCCCAGCTACTCAGAAGGCTGAAACAGGTAGATCAAGAGTTCAATGCCAACCTTGAGCACAAAGTGGGATCCTATCTTAAAAAGGAAAAAAAGGTTCTTTTCATCAAATAAAAGGTCTATGATCCCAAATAAGCATCAACTAACCACTAATTCCCTTATTCATATAAAAGGTTTCTCCTGCATTCAACAACATATATTTCTCTTTCAACTCCCTTTCTTCAAAGAATGTTTATAAGCCCTACAAAAGCCTATGAAAACTGAAGGATTATACTGTGCTTTAATGCTTAGCTAAAACATCTCAAACTATAAATACTTAAATGCCTTTTGACAGAAATGTCACCTCTATTCCCATTAAATAGCATTGTAAGAAAACATACAGTATAGGGTTACCAAGATTTTTTTAAAGGCTCAGCTATGACTACAACTTATGGTTCCCTTGTATTCAGCTATGCAAATTAATGTAATTAATGCTATAGATTTCATATCATGAATATTCATAAAGGGAATGCTCCTATAGCTATCATCTCTATTAATGACTGTGTACCGAGTTTTTAGCATTTAGACTGAAAGAAAATATTCAGCACTGAAATGATCACCTACCGTGAGCAAATGGGCAAAGGAAAAGGCACTCCTCTCCTTAAGGTTATGATTAGGAGCCTGAAGGTTGATATTTAACAAGGCTAATTAAGTGTTTTTCAAAGCAAAACAGAGTTGAGACTCTTAAATGATTTTTAACTGGCTCCCTCAGCCTTTGTGTATGATAGGAAATCCATTGAGCCATCATTAGAAAAAGAGGTTCCTTTCCTTTTCTGTTGTTAGATGTATCTCAACCTACAGATGAGAACTGGAACAAGACTAAGTCAGTCAGTTAACAGTCAAGCAACCTGCCTACCGAGCTGCTTCTTTAGCTTGCCAGCTCCATGCAAAGACTGCCTCTCCCATGACACATTGCTACTGTGCAGAAGGAAAGGAGCAGCTGAAGTCAATTTTACAGGGAGTACTGGAAAGCGAAAAAGGCTAGACTCTCCATGAACTAAAACGTACGGTTAGAGCAGCAGAGTGAGGCAAGTGAAAGCAAAACAAAACTGTCTGTAAACCACATCTATGACTTTACTACCGCAGGTTGGAATTCAATATTCTTGGCCTAACAAAGTAAGATTAAAACCCAAAGTGATGGTAGTACAGACGGACAAAGGCAATGGAGGGGAGACCAACATATTTTTTAATTATTTCATTGTTCTCTACATAAAACAATAGACCTATACTTTTCTCCCAGTACAAGGGAGTTAAAGTTTGTCAAATACTGTAATGTCTTCCAATCTAAAATTCTCAATGAGATATGTGACTAATAATAATAGCTTACATAAAACCTCATTTCCTTCATGAAAACAGACTGCATTTTTATGAAACTAGTTAGGAAACTATAATGTTTTCCTCTATGTACTCACGAATCCAAGTTCAACGCAAACTACACAAAGAGACAAAGTCCTAAGGCTAAGGAAATGCTGTGCATGAAATAAACATAAAAATCACCTCAGCAATGCCTATGCAGAACAAAACTCCGCTCATTTTGAGCAAATGTCCTAAAGCTTTAATATAATTCAACATAGAAATAAAACATAACACACACACACACACACACACACACACACACACACACACATCCAAAGAGTTTCATCATAGATTATCCCATATGTTTGAAAAAGTAATTGTGTAATACACAGTAAAGAAAAAGAGGTTTTCCCAGTTTACCTGGAACTTTCTTCGTAGATCAGGCTGGTCCCAATCTCACATTCACCTGCCTCTGCCTCCTGACTGCTAGGATTAAAGGCATGTATCACCATGCCTGGCAATATAGTGGCTCTTTAACTTGGTTTTAAGCCCCAGACAGTTACAAGCACTGAAAATATGAACATCCTTTTCTCTGCAACTTATCTATCTTTTTATTTAATTCACTTCTCCCTAATCAAAAATTCCATTGGGGGCCTCAGGAATGTAGTTCAGTTAGTAGAGTGTCTGTGTAGCATGTACAAAGCCATGGGATCAATCCCTAGCATTCATAAGTCAGGTGTGGTGGCACTCACCTGTAATCCCAGCACTCAGGAGATGAAGACAGGAAGACCACAAGTCCAAGGTCATCCCCTACTACAAAGTGAGTTCAAGGACAGTTGGTGGGGTGGGGACACTTTCATTTTTGGTCTTCAGATACAGTTAGTGATAGAACACTTGCCTAATGTGTAGGAGACTCCAGATTCAACCCTCAGAACCACAAAAAAAAAAAAAGATTCCTCTCTCTCTCTTTCTGAGATAGTGTCTCATGTAGCCCAAGCTGGTCTCAAACTTGCTACATAGCCAAGTCTGGCTTTGAACTCCTGCTGACCCTCCTGTCACCACCTCCAGAGTACTTGGACTACTTACCGGCATGTGCCACCAAGATCCACAGATTTACATTTTCTAGCTGGATAAGGTGGGGCATATCTTTTAATCCTAGCACCTGGGAGGCTGAGATGGGAGAATTGTTGAGTTGAAGGCCAAGCCTGGGCTACATAGCAAGATCCTGTCTCTCACACACAAAAAAATACTGTCTCACTACACACCATATGTATTCTATTCTTCTCTTGCTGAGTATTTGGGGTGTTTCCACCTGCTACAAACATTCCTGAATATCTTTTTTATTGTACTATTATTGTGTGTATATGGTGTGTGGGTGTGAATATGCATGTGCCATGACATGCATATGGAGGTCAGATGACAGCCTCGCCTAGTCGCTCCTTTCCTTCCACCTTAATGTAGGTTCTGGGAACCAAACTAAGGTTGTCAGGATTGCATAGTACAGCCTTTACTCACTGAGCCATCTCCCCAAAATGCACTCATTACCAGCAGGGATCACGCTGAGGAGAACTAAAATGGTTCGTGTCTCTTCAGCAGAAGGTGAAACTAACAAATACTTTCTAAAGTTGTGAGATCAGCAGTTTTCCACTTTCTATTCCTCCATCTCCTGAACACTACTTACTGTCACTGAAATTTTCATCAACCTCAAGAGTGCAAAACAGCATCTCAATGTAGTTTTGTTCTGTTGAATATTTATTCGTTTTATGTGTATGTATGTACGCCTGAACGCAGGAGCCCATGGAGGTCAGAAGAGGGCATCAGATCCCTTGGAACTGGAGTTAAAGGTGGTTGTGAGATACCACAGGTGCTGAGCACCAAATCCAGGGCTTCTGCAAGAGCAGCCACTGCTGTTAACTGCTGAACCTTCTCTACAGACCTGATTTGTTTTTTGTCTTGTTTTATTTGAAACAGGGTCTCACTATGTAGTCCTGGCTGGCCTGGAACTCGATAAATAGACCAGGCTAGCCTTGAACTCAGAGGTCCACCTGCTTTTCCCTCCTGAGTTCTTGGATTTAAGGCTATCACACCCAGATCGCTGTAGTTTTAATGTATATTTTCCGTTTGCTAAGAATGCTGTTTTTCCTTCTCTTTTCATCTCCTTTATTCCTTTATGTTCTTACACTTTGGATGTGTTCCTTAGTGAGGTTTCTATCGGGTCTTTTGCCCATTTTTTTAGATTGGCTTGCCTGCCTTTTGCTTATCACCTCATGGAAGTGCATTATATATTCTGTATACAAATCCTGAAACCTGGGACTGGAGAGATGGCTCAGCAGTTAAGAGCGCATACTGCTCCCGGAAAGGGCCCAAGTTTTATTGCCAGCACTCACATTTGGTGGCTCACAATGACCTGTAATTCTGCTTCAAAGGGATCCAGCACCCTTTTCTGGCCTCTGTGGACACTCAAACATGTTTGCACACACACACACATACACAGATACACATGGACAAAAGCACATACACACAAATATAATAAATCTTTAAAAAAAATCCTGAAACTTAACTGTATTATAAATCATTTTTCCCATTGTGTAGCTTGTCTTTTCATCCTCTGAGTGGTGTATTTTAATGAACAAAAATTCGTTTGTGTGTGTAGGGTGTATGTGTGTGTGTTATGTATATATGGGCACATAGAAGTCAAAAGACAATTTAGTGGGGTTGGTTCTTGCCTTCCATCTTTACGTGGGTACCAGGGATCGAACCCAAATTTCCAGGCTTGCCCAATAAGTGCCACTGAGCCATCTCACACTAGCCCCTATTTTTTGTTTTGAAAAAGGGTCTTCCTAAGCCACCTGGGCTGGACTTTTCCGCCCTTTCCATCCTCTTGCCTCAGCCTCCTAAACAGCTGGGATTACAGGCCTATACCACCAGCCAGGCTGAGCCACATCATATTTTTACATTCTATTTGGTCTTAGTATATGTTCCTCACAAAATGTCAAAAGGAAAAAAAAAGAGGATGAATTTAGAATTTTGAAAATAAAATGTATTGATTCATATCATTTTCTAAGATGCAGAGACTTGAAAGATTCTTGGAAACACTTGAAGGTACTCTATATTAAAGGAGAAACTGAGGCCCAGTTCAATTTGTGACAGATTCCAAAGACAGTGAAAACTGTATTTCACAATATACATTAATGAACATTAATTTAAATCTTTTTGGAGAGGGTGCTGAGGATTGAACCCAGGTCTCCGCTGAGTTACACCTGATCCTTAACAGATTTCTACAAATCTGTTTCTCTAAATTCTGAAGATTATGACTCCTATTAAGTTCTATTTTCTGAGGTATGGCTTTTACAATTTACATGAAAATACATGTAAAATCTCAGTATTTATTTATATAGACTGCAGTACTGAGACTCCTCTATCAGCGATGTGAGGAAACAAAAACAGTTGCAGGTTCTAAGGCTCATCCTTAGAGTGTCAGTGTAAGAATGCCCCAAGACCTCTGCCTACTCTCCGGAGATTCCAGATCCCCAAGGCATCCTGGGTCAGGGAAACAGAAAAAGCACTCCACCACCTCTCTGGACAACCAGGAAAGAGACAGCAATGGTGCCCATTCTTCTATATGTGAAAATCCACCACCTCTCAAGAGTCAGGGAAGAGAAAGCAGTGGTGCCCACGCCTCCAGCCAAAGCTCAGCCCTATCACCAACTCAGGCAAGACATCTTGTATCTGTGTAAAGAGAATTCACACCCGTGGTAGAATTATATCACATTCCCAATGACAAAGAAATAGAGGGACATAGACTTTTGGTGCAAAAGAGGTGCAAAAACAAGTTTGCTGGAAGCAAGAAAGTAGGTGAGAAAGAAATGACTCATGGGAAAGCTGGCCATGGAGGAAATGAGGGGGGAATCTATCTATCATCTATCTACCTATCTATCTATCCATCCATCTATCTATCCATCCATCATCTATCTATCCATCCATCATATATCTATCCATCCATCCATCCATCCATCCATCCGTCTATCATCTATCCATCCATCCATATATCTGTCTATCTATCCATCCATCAATCCATCCATCCATCCATCATTTATCTATCCATCCACTCATCCATCCGTCTATCATCTATCTATCTACCTATCTATCTATCATCATCTATCTATCATCTACCTACCTACCTACCTACCCTATCTACCTATCTATCTGAGACAGACAGAGTCTTGCTATCCCTAAGTATCTTAATTTTTTTTTTTTTTTTGAGACAGGGTCTTACCAAATATCCCAGGCTGGCCTTGAACTCATGGTAATCCTTCTGCCTCAGCTTCCTGGGTGCTAGGTTACAGGCATGCACCATCATGCCTGGCTGAGTACTTTGATTTCTCACTGACCTATTTGACAAAGATGAATACCAGTAAGCTCACCCCTGGCTACTCCAAGGAGGCAACATGAAGGGAAAGTAGATGTGGGGCGCTTTCTGCAACATTCCCATTTACTACTTCCCCGTTTCCTGGCTTCCCCTTTTCCTATATTCCCTCCCCATCTCCCAACCTAGTACATCACACGGTCTCCTAAAGAATCATGAGAAACATCCTTCAAGGATTCAAGCAGCAAAACCTCAGGAGGAAGAGGCCAGCGCTCCTAACCTTTCCCCCATATGAAGCCCTGTGACCCTTGGCTGCAAATAAAGCCTCCTCAAGTGCTTAGAAGTAGAAGTTTCCATTTAAAACAAGGCTTTAAAAAAACGGTTCCATTTAGTACTCAAGGTAATGGAGTTTGGTTTTTTCCTACTGAAAAAGTACTTAGAAAATCCAAAATGGGACTGTGTTAACTTTATAAGACACTGGTGCTATTTAATATAAACCATCCTTAATATTAAAAAAAAATCAAAATTTTCTTTCTGGTTCACTAATTAGATAAATTTCCTTTTTTTCCTATTTTAACCTATAAGGCACAATTCCAGTGAGTGATTTATTTCACTTGTAAAATGTTTTGTACTTTTGGGACTGGAGAGATGGCTCAGAGGTTAAGAGCACTGGTTGCTCTTACAGAGGACCTAGGTTTGATTCCCAGCATCCACATGGCAGCTAACAACTGTCCTAACTCCAGTTCCAGGGGATCTGACACTCTCTTCTGACCTCTACAGGCATTGCACGACAAGGGTGTACTTACATACATGCAAGCAAAACATTCATACACATAAAATAAAAATAATAACTACTTTTAAAGCAAAAAATGTTTTGTACTTTTAAAAGCCTGTACATACCAGCTTAAAGATACAAAGTGAACAGAATACTAATCTTTCTTAAAAATTTTTTATTATTTTTTTTATGTGTATGTATGTATTGCCTGCATTTAGGTAAGTATACCTATGTTATGCTATGCCCATGGAGGACAGAAGAGGCTGTCGAATCCCCCAGAACTGGAGTTATAGACAGCTGTTAGATGCCATGTGAGTGCTGGGATTTGAACCCAAGTCTTCTGTAAGAACAGCCAGTGTTCTTAACTGCTAAGCCATCTCTCTAGCCCCCAGAATACTAATCTTTAATGACGATTAGACAGGGGCTGGAGAATGGCTCAATGATTAAGAGCAGTGGCTAACAAACATCCTGAACTCCAGTTCCAGGGGATCCAGCGCCCTCTTCTGACCTCTGTAGGCAGTGCATGACACAGGTGTACTTAAATACATGCAGGAAATACACTCATACACACAAAATAAAAAAATAAGAAACAAATTTTTTTAAAGATGATTAGACAAATGACTGCAAAAGAATGCTAATTCTTGCGACAAGGAGGTCAAGCCCAAGTGTGTTTGAACTCTTTTCTTTCCTTAATAAGCTAGAAGAACGAAACACAAAAACTAGTGATCACATCCAAAGAGCTTGTGAGGGTGTGAATAACAGCTGTAACTGTCATCTCAGAGCCAGGGACTCTAGAAGCTTTAGGTTCGTCATGCACATCCCACTTCAGCATTGCGATGGCGACTGCAGTTCTGGGATGCTCCTACCTGTCTCTGAAGCTCTGCCAGGTTGTAAGGTAAGGCCCCCTCGGCCAGCGGAGCTATCCTCTCAATATCTGCCAGAGTCAAGCGCCTCAAGGGAGAAACATGGGAGAGAGAGCTATTAGACACAGACATCCCTGCACATCAAGAGCACCTTTTCCCTAAAAATCCGTCTAGACCTAGAGCTTAAAGAAGCTGTTTCCTTATTCACACAGATCATTTTAGGGAGGGGGAGGAGGGGGAGGAGGGGGAGGAGGAGGAGGCCAGAGTTTCTAGGAAGCAGACCTGCTGTTTCTCCTGCAGAGAAAGAGGAGGAGGAGGAGGAGCAAACTTCCAAGTCCTGTTTACAAGAAAAGCAAAGGCTGGAGAGAAATACTGTGGGAGTGAGTGACTCTAATGAGACTCCCACGATACACTTACCCAGAAGTACCCCATGCCAAGCAAGGCTTCACACTCCCTATCCCTCTAACACAGAGGTGCCAGTGTCCCAGAGGGAAGGCTAGATACAAAATGGAGAATATGATAGGCTGCCTTCAGGAAAAGGCACAAATGGAGGAGAAAGGCTTGCTTTCTTTTCTTCTATTTTGTCCAGTACTCTCCTTCAACTCTTTTGAGTTCTGAATCATACGAATGTATCACTATTACCAAAAATTGACTTAAGCTAGGCATGGTGGCACATGCCTTTAATCCCAGCACTTGGGAGGCAAAGGCAGGCAGATCTCTGTGAGTTCAAGGCCAGCCTGGTCTACATAGCAAGTTCCAGGTCAGCTGGGGCTACAGGGAGACCCTGTCTCAAAAAGACCAAAAGAAAAAGAAAAAACAAATTGACTTAAAAAGGGATTGGAGAGGTGGGGTTAAGAGCACTTGCTGTTCTTTCAGAGGGCCTGGGATTATTCCTAGCACCCACGTGGCAGCTTTGTCACCCCCTTTCAGCCTTCGTGGGCACTGCACATATACCAGTAAACATACCGGCAGTCAAAACACTTGTACAAATAAAAATAAATAAATCATTTTTTAAAACTGACTTAAAAATAAGTACATTTGAGTCAGGCAAAGTGGTGCACCCCTTTAATCCCAACACCAGGGAGGCAGAGGCAGGTGGAAGGATCTCTATGAGATCAGGGCCAGCCTGGTCTACATAGTGAGTTCCAGGCCAGCTGGGGCTACAGGGAGACCCTGTCTCATTAAAAACAAAAGTACATTCCATGAGCCTGCTAAAATGGTCACTTCAGATGCAGTTTGGAGGACTTTTTAAAAGCATTTATTGCCAGGCGTGGTGGCACATGCCTTTAATCCCAGCACTCAGGAGGCACAGGCAGGCGGATCTCTGTGAGTTCAAGGCCAGCCTGGTCTACATAGTGAGTTCCAGGACAACTGGGGCTACAGGGAGACCCTGTCTCAAAATAAAAAAAAAAAAGCATTTATTAACATGAAGGAGGCTCAGAACATTTGTCTGAAAGTGGATGCAACACGACCCAGTAGGTCACGTCAATCACAAAGCGCTGCTGAAACATGAGACAGCTGAAAGACTTGACATCATCTCTAATCCAACAATGCAGTCCACAGCAAGAAGGCATAAATCACCTCTGTATACCCAGCTTCTGTTGGCCCCAGCTTGTGGTTTGGGGCTAATTTTTCAGATAATTTTATACTTAGAGAACTACTACAGTGAAATAAAATATAAAGCAAACAACACAAAAACACTCCAGTCTTTTTGGTCCTTTTCTTTCTTTCTTTCTTTCTTTCTTTTTTTAAGACAGGGTCTCCCTGTAGCCCCAGCTGGTTTGGCATTCACTATGTAGACCAGGTTGGCCACAATCTCACACAGATCCACCTGCCTCTGCCTCTTGAGTGCTGGGATTAAAGGCATATGCCACCACACCCAGCTAACACTCCAGTCTTTTAATAGACCATAAGTTTCTTTCTGTATGTATGCTAAGTATCCCTGGATATAGGTTTGTTTTTTTTTTTTTTAGTTTGCATGTCTTTGCACATTAAACACCCTCTACATGCAGTTTTGTTTCTAATTTATAAAAAATAAAGGCATAGGGGCTGGAGAGATGGCTCAGTAGTTAGGAACACTGATTGTTCTTACAGAAGACGGGTTTGAATCCCAGCACCCACGTGGCAGCTAACAACTGTCCTAAGTCCAGTTCCAGGAAATATGACAGCCTCTTCTGTCCTCTGTGGGCATTGTACAACACAGGTGCACTTACCTACATGCAGACAATACACGAATACACATAAAACAAAAATAATAAAAATTTTAAAAAAAGACCAGCCTAGGCAATTTAGCATGTCTTTGCCTCAAAACAAAGGAACAAACAAAAATTTAAAAATAAATAAATAGATAAATAAAGGCATAAACATCATAGGTATAGCTTAAGAAAATAATGTTCTCAACATACAATGGTGTACACCATTCAATAAAATGACCATTTATGGCAACTGAAAAGGATACAATAGTCCTTCAAGTACCACAATCTATTTTCATAAATTTATAAATCTAACCAATTTTCCACAAATCTCTTTGAATTAGTAACACTTCCAGTGTGCCCACATTAAACCTGTCATTTCCCTCTCTCTATAACCTCCTACCTCTCTCATCTTCCTCCCTCACTTTCCTTCTTAACTTCCCGTCCATCTCAAGCCTCTTTTCCATTCCCTTCTTTTTTCCTCTGCCCACTGTTCTCTCCCTCTCCCTCTCCCTCTGCCTCTTATCCCTCTCTTTCTCCTCTGACTTCTCATATTTGCCTGCTTCTCTTTCTTCGACTCTATAAACTAAATAAACAGTTGTTAAAATGAACTGAATGCATTCTATTTCACCATGCCCAGCTCTAATTCACATCTTAAAGACCTTCCCTGTAAGAAACATCATGAAGAATCACTGAAGAGTTACCCTGAAGCATTATATAAGTCTGCAAGCTGGTACAGGATATCAATTTCTAGTGGAGTAACTTGTCCATAGCGGATGGCATTCTGGGCAAATTCCTCTGCAAGAGACAGAAACAAATGTTAACATCTCTAATAGAATTCAAAAGCAAAAGACATTTTAGCACTATTTTAAACATCTAAAACTAAATTTAAATACTGAAGCTCAGCTTCTAACTTGGCATTTCTGAAAGCTGGTGAAAGATAAAATATTAGGATGAAATTGTAGAAACAAACAAATCAACTTCAGATAAAACCATCACTTTCCAATTCTCTCTCATTTTGTTTACTTACTTTGGTCCCCAGAGTTATAAGACAAAGAAGTAGCGGCTCTGCAGTCACCCAAAACAGCCTATAACCATTCACACAAAAGGAGCAGGCTTATTCTCTCTCTGTGGTAACTTGTTCCCAGTACAAACAAGCTGCTGCCACAGTGCCACTGACCTGTTTGACAGATTGGGCCAAGGTTCTTTTCAAAACTGTCAAAGCCACTTTTCCATCCCTGACCTCAGCATCTCATTAAATCCACCTGGGTTTCTGAACCCACGTGGCACATGTATACACATGACAACCCAACTTCTGGCTCTGGTTTTAGTATAGTGGACTTTGGCCAGCCTCATACCTACCTGATGAAAAGAAAAATGATTCAGATGGAGTTTTTACATCTTACCCTTCGTGACTTCAATGTCTTTCCTTGTGCCAGCTAATGTGCTATATATCTTCCGAACAAGTTCCATGTTGTTCAGTAAGGAGTTAAACGCATTGAAGTAGGAGAAGCTAACTTGGTGTGAGATACTTCCTCCCGCAGCCTAGAAGTGACAACACAAGACGTAAAAGTCAAAAGTAAGAAACGTGTTTTGGGCACTGTACTGTTTGCTCAAAGTGGATCCGAAGGTGTCTTTGTCATCAAAACAATTAACAACCAGCCCATAAATATTAGGAGGGTATCTGACTAAAACACTCAGAGCATTTTGTGCCCTTAGGGAAGTCTGTGTAATTTAGTTTTAAGGAAGAAAGCAACATCTGGAAGTTGGACTTCATGGTTCATCTACCGATAAGGTCAGAAACAACAAATATAATTATTGCAGATCAAAAACTGGTTATTTAAACAAGATTTTTCAAGACCCACAACTATGCAACTCCTGCTGGTCCTGGAAAAATATCAATGTATAATATAAGGAATACTTCCTAAACTTGTTAATTTTTTTCCTACACACATACACAAAATACAAGTAACTTTAATATTTTTTTCTATGCTATAGCTTGAACCCAGGGCCTCATCTATGTGCTCTACCTCTGAGCCATATCTCCACTCCTAGTAGCCTTAAATTTTAAGACTATTTGATTACATCAGCTTTACTTAAATTTCTTTATTTTATTTTACATATGAGTGTTTTGCCTGCATGTACATAAGTACACTATGCGCGTGTAAACCTGCCGAGGCAAAAAGGTGTCAGATCCCTTGGAACAGGAGTTAAGGATGGTTGTTAGCTGCCATGTGGGTACTGGGAACCAAACCCAGGCCCCCTGGAAGAGCAGCTGTTTTCTGAATTTGCAACATGAAAAGTACAACTATGGAAAACTCCCCAAACATCCAGAAGACCTGGGGAGGGTTTAAACTCTGTAGTTATGTCCTCTGTGCTCTAGCATCACATGGCTCACTCCGACTGGATAGTACACAAGGGCCCTCAGCATCTCTGTAGGTTGCAGAAGTTAGTAATTCCTCTCTCTGCCCAGCACTTAGGCAAAATCTCAAAAGAGAAAGATTTTTTCAGCTTCCAAAAATCTAATTTTCAAGTTAGAAGTCAGAGGTAATTGAAAATATGACGCTTTGAAACTCAAAGAGATGCTTATGGAAATACCAGGGTAAAAACCTTAATCAAAAAAGTCTATTACAGATAGAGTAACACTCTTGTTTCTCTTGAGATCATATTAATCCTTCACCTTTCACAAATATTGTAGATAATGCTGGACAAACATGTCTGCCCCACTACCCCTCATAAAAATGCTTGAAGCAAATATAGATTTAAAAAAAATTTTTTTAGACAGGTCTCACTATGTAGACCAGGTTGGCCTCAAACTCCCAGAGATCCACCTGCCTCTGCCTCCCAAGTGCTAGGATTAAAGATATGCACTACTATGCCTGGCCCCCAAATACAGATTATGTTTTTATTGATATGAATTTGGATATCAAAAGCAGGATTCAGATTATTTAATATAATCCTCTGAGGATTGGGAATGTCTTCTGGTAAACTGAGGCAATAGCCATCTAACTCAGTCAGAAAATAGATCCCTCCACCCTAACTTATTGAGGGAACCCTTCCCTCTGGATTGATTTTCTTTCCTCTGATTCTCCTTTCCTCCCTGCTTTTTCTTTCCTTCTTTCACTTTTTGCTTGCGGTTGGGTATGAGGTAAAGGTAAAGAAGTGGGGGATGGGTGTCGGGGGGTGAAATGTGTAGGGGACAGTTCCATGTTCAAATTCACTGAAGAAAAGGAACAGAAGTTGATCTTTCTACCCCAGTCTAAATCAGGGATAATGATCTTCAGCTGAAACAACAAGAGTCTCCATTGGCTTGCCTCCATTCAAAACAAGCAGTAATCAAAAACTTTTACAGAACTCTAGGATGTGGACAAGAAAACAGGAAGCGAGGAAGGTTTCTCCAATGTGTAAGGAAGTGAATGACATGTGTTTGCTGTGGGTCCAGATGATTGCTTTATAGATATTTGCACTTAGAAAAACAAAACCAAAAACACCACTGCATCTGGTATATATGCAATGAACGCACAGGTGAAGGGGCAGAGAGGCGTGACCCCAGAGGATGATGGCCACAGGTTTCCTCCATCCTGCCATGGGCATGGTTATTAAAACAATTCAGAGGCCAGTGACCATCCTTCCACTAACAGAGGAAGAAGCCATCCCAACCAGACCTGTGGAGTGGTGGGGGTGTGTGAAAGAGGTCAAGATGAAGGCACGAGTGCACTGGAAAACAGTACCTGCTCACCCTTGTCTACAAACACTCTGTCCTTTGAAATGGACTCTGTAGATGGAAAAAAACAATTTGGAAATACATGAGAGCAAGAAGATGGTTATGAATGAAGCTTGGAACTGAGGATGCACTGCTCACTGCCACCTCTGCACCTCTCCCCCAGCCCATTTTCCTTCCACTCACCCAAGCATGAAGCTTGAATAGCTAAGAGCCATGTGGGCACGAGAAGGCAGTCCAGCACCCAAGGGTTCTAAATGTCTCAGGAAATTGAAAGTGAAAGCACTTGCTTGTTACTTACAGAAACTAAGTTCTCCTCCACAAAAGGAGTGAGCATGTGGGACCGGATGGTGACCATGATGTCACTGAAATCCAGACCTGAAATCATGCCACTCTTGCTTTTGTCTTTCAGTGCGAAGGCTTGCCTTGCATGTTCCAGTTGCAGCTCCTGCAGGAAAAAGGATTAGAAACAGAGCATTCAAATGGATGAAAGACATCCAAAGTACGCATTCTGGAGAAGAAAGGACAGACATCCTTCCCCCATGTGTGCTTACTACAGAGAGAAACAATGTACAGTTCTGGCATCACAGTAGAGCTTTTGATTTCTTTTAGGAGGCACATGCTTTCTTAGGAATGTACTACAGACTATTCCCTGGGAAAAGAGAGTGAATCAGAGAAGGTAATAGAGAGGAGAAAGAAACTTCAGATTTCACTGGAAGTTTTCAACACTAAAAACACCCATGAATATAGTATTTTTAGTGCTTTATTCCGATCTCTAAAATACACAGTACTTCATTCTCTCCTGCTTGAAGACTTTGTCATCCCAAAGTACTTCTTGAATTAATAGCTTCCATTCTCTTTCAATTTTAAATGTTGTAATCAGAGTCAATCTCTCCCCTAACCTCTGAATCAGATATCATTTTTTTAAATGATTTTTTTTAACAAAATCAGTGTGAAACTCGACCAAATGGCATATGTTATAATATACTGCATAATTTTTTGTTTGTTTGAGACAGGGTCTCCCTGTAGACCCAGCTGGCCTGGAACTCGCTATGTAGATTAGGCTGGTCTCAATCTCAGCAGAGATTCACCTGCCTCTGCCTCCTGAGTGCTGGGATTAAAGGCATTTACCACCACGCCCAGATAATACTTCATAATTCTAAAGTGAAAGTTATGAATAACAAACTATACAAGCTGTGCTCATGATCTCTCTGTCAGGCTCTGGGCACAATCAAAGACCCAGATGTACTCAGATGTACTGGTACATCTTGTAGTAACAGTGAAGAGCTAGAAACAGCAGGCTTAGATGGAAGTCTGCTTAACACATAGTTACCTCACTGGGGAGATGATTCAGCAGGTAGTGTTTGCTGTGCAAGCATGAAAATCTCAGTTCAATCCCTAGCACCCATGTAAAAAGTGGGCATAGCTTACAGTTGCCTATAACCCCAACAGTGTAGGGCAGAAACAGGAGACTCACTAGGACTTTCTAGCCAGATGCAGGGTGATCAAGCAGGACACACAACGTCCTTCTCTGGCTTCCATGCATGCTCCCCCATTTGTATATATACCATACACACATAATACACACACACACACACACACACACACACACACACACACACACCCACACACACACACACACACACACACAGAGCAGTTACCTATCTGCTCCACCAGCCCAGCCTCTGCCCTACCAAACCTGACTGAAGACTGGAGGCTGACTACCCATCAGGAGAGTTTAACAGAGGAACCAGGGAGTAGTGGAAGCCAGGTACAGTTGACAGAGCATTCAACTGAAAGAAGGAAGTAAACTGCAGTCCAAGTCCATATGAACCATAAAGGCCTCTAACCCTCTTCCCTAATCAACAACCAGAATATTAAAAAGCCAGGTCATATTCCTGTTGTGAGACCAGATAATTGTGCTGATTCCCTAATTCAAAAAACCTTAGCACACAAAATACAGGGTTTCAATGAAAGAGCCTTATCACAGCATTTTACACCAAAGTCTAAAGTTAATAAACCCATAAACCCATAGCGCTCAATAATTCCTAATCTTGAATATAAGCAAAGGACCATCAGACACAACAAAAGTCACTAACAAGGAAAAAAAAAAAAAAAAAAAAACTTGGGAACGGCGTGGTGGCGCCCACCTTTAGTCCCAGCACTTGGGAGGCAGAGGCAGGCGGCTCTCTGTGAGTTCAAGGCCAGCCTGGTCTACATAGTGAATTCCAAGCAGTACACAATGTTTAATTCTGAATTTCTATAATTGTGCATCTATCCCAGGTTCTGAAAATAACCTTTTGAAGCATCTCCTATTTAAAAGTATCAGAAAAGGGGCTGGAGAGATAGCTCATCAGTTAAGAGCACTTACTGTTCTTGTTGAAGACTTGAATTTAGTTCCCTGTACCCAGATCAGGCAGTTCATAACTGCCTATAACACCAGTTCCAAGGGATCCGACACCCTCTGTTCTCCTTGGATACCTGCACACATGTGGTACACATAAACTCACACAGCCTCACATATATACACATAAAAATAAAAATAAAGAAAATCAGAAAGGAGCTGGAGAGGTGGTTCATAGGTTAAGAGTCCTCCTGCAGAGGACTCAGGTTTAATTTCCAGCACCCACACTGGGTGGCTCACCACCACCTGTAACTCCAGCTCCAGGAGATTCTACTCCCTCTTCTGGCCTTCAAAGGCAACTGCATACATGGTACACATAAATGCACATAGGCACACAGCCATAATAAATAAATAAATAAATAAATAAATAAATAAATAAACTTTTTAAAACTAAAAGGAAAGAAAACTGGAGAGGACAGAAGAAAAAGAAATTGGGGGAAAACACACTGTAGGAAAATGATAATTTTTTTCAAAATCAACCCCATTATTATTATCATTAGAGGTTAAAAAAAACAGTGCAGCACATGAAATAAGAACAGTATGCTATTTTTTCCCTTTGTTTTGCTTTGTTTCTGAGACATGATCTTGCAGGCTGGACTCCAACTTGCAACATCCCCCTGCCTCAGCCCACAGGCTGTGCTACCATACCCAGTTATGATATTTTTTAAGGAAGGAATATTCAGAGAACCAAAAGAATTGAAATATTCAAAACACTAAAAATATAAATTTTAAAACTTAATGAGAAGGAGCTGAGCATGGTGGCACAAACCTTTAATCCCAGCAATGAACCCCTTTAATCTCAGGAGGCAGAGCCAGGTGGATCTGTGTGGGACTGAGACCAGCCTGCTCTGCATAACAAGTTCAGGCCAGCTGGGAGACCCTGTCTCAAACAAACAAAAACCAAAAGAAGAAGAAGAGGAGGGGGGAGGGGGGGGGAGGAAAATAGAAAAGAAACTAAAGGATCATAAATATATAATAATCCTACAAAGGACAAAATTTTTAAAGAAAAATTCAAGAAAGAAAATCTCAAAAACTGTACTTTTCCTATTGGAAGATCCTACTGAATGTCCTTTGCAACCTGGGACTCCACTTGGTATGGGCCACATACATAAAATCTTTTCTTAAAGATTTCCTTTGGCAACCTGGGACCCCCATCAGCATCAAGCTGCACATACATCCGACTCCAAACAATGGAATAAGTTTCTCCTTACCCGACAACCATCAAACATGGTTAATTTCTATTCATATGTATTCCTAGCTCTATTCTGTAGAAGGGTAAAGGGACAATCCTGCCTGAACTAGTTTCTGAGAACATGTGCAAGAAGGTAAGCTGTGTCCTCTAAGTGAACTTTTAGGGAGAAATCTCTTATTTTACCAACTTTTTTTTCAATTAAAAAAAAATCTACATTTTAAAAATATGTGTGTTGAGGGGGAAAAGTCTAGCAGTTCCTGAAAGTGTTAAACATAGAGGCCAGAACATGGCTCAAGGTACAGCAGCTGTCTAGCATGCACAAGGTACTGGGTACTATGTCCTTTTCCACAAAAAAAGAAGGAAAAGAGGGAGGAAGATGAGTTAAATACAGAATTATATGACTCTGCAATTCTACTCCAAGGTATATACTCAAATACCTGTGTATGAGTATTTGTAGGAGCCACTATCACAAGAACCACAAAGTAAGAATAACTCAAATGCCCAGCAACTGACAAATGAACAAAGTATGTTGATACAGTGGAATGTTATTAAGCCAAAAAAAAAAAAACCACAGAAAGATACGGGATACTACTACATGATAAAATAAAGACAAATCTCTTTTTTTGTTCTTATGTTTATGTGACTTGAGGCAAGTTCTCACATAGCCTAAGCTTGCTGTGAATCAATATGTGACTGAGGATGACTCTGAACTCCTGATCCTCCTGCCTCTACTTCCTAAGTGCTAAGATTATAGGTGCATACCACCACACCCAGTTAAAGCCTGCTGATTCTTTTGCTTTGATTTGTAGTCTGGGGACTGAACCTGGAGCCTCATATATGGTAGGCAAGTACTCTACCGCTGAGTTATGAGCCCAGTACCAATATGGATAATTCTTTAAAATATTATGCTGGGGCTGGAGGGATGGCTTAGTGGTTAAGAGCACTGACTGCTCTTGCAAAGGAGCCACGTTCGATTCCCAGCACCTACATGGTGGCTATGATCCGTCCTTAACTCCAGTTCCAGGGGAATCTGAAGCCCTCTTCTGACCTCCGCGGCATTGCATGACACGGGTGCACTCACATACATGCAGGCAATACACTCATACACATAAAAATAATAAAATATTTTTTAAAAAAATATTATACTAAGTGGGGAAAAATGGCACACAAAAAATCCTGCCATGCAATTCCATTTACATGAATGTCTAGAATAGTTACACCCATAGAAACAACAAAAACAAACAGATGGACAGTTTCCAGAAACCAGGAGATGGTTCTCAATGGGAAGTGACTACGAAAAGGGTTCAAGAGTTTCTTATGGGACAATGAAAATGCTTGGAATAAGATAGAGGTAGTGGTTGTAAAATACTGTGTATGTACTAAACACAGTGAATTGTATACTTTTAAAGGGTTAGTTTTATATTATATGTTATGCGAACTTTTATTCCCCTGCCAAACTTTTCTTACCCTCTGTAGTACTTACTAGGAGTCAAACCCAGGGCTTCATGCATGCCAGGCACTGAACCACATACCTGGTCCTCATTTTTTTTTTTTTTTTACAAAAAGAAGGAAAATTCTCGAAAAGTTCCAATAATATGAAACTAGTAAGATAGCCCACATGTTTTAAACATACCAGAGATTTTAATAATAACAGCAATGTTTGAAGATGAATTAACATTGATAGTAGAAAAGTAAACAAAACTTGGAAATCCTAAGAAAACTAGTAATTCTAGTCACAAATAGTACAGTTGTCCCTCAGTATCTGTGAGGTATTTGGTTCCAGGACCCAACCCCACTGATCTACTCCCAGTGGACAGTGAAATCTAAGGCTGCTTAAGTTCTCTGTGTGTCCTCCCATACGCTTTATCTCTTCCATGTAATCTACATACATCTCATACACATACACACATAGACACACACATACACACACACACACACTCACACATGTATGATATATATTGCATTTATTTATTTTCTGTGTGTGCCATGGTGCACATGTGGAGATCAGAGGACAGCTTTCAGGAGTCAGTTCTTTCTTTCCACTGTGTGGGTTCAAAGAATGGAACTGAGTTCATCAAACTTGGTGGCAAGTGCCTTTACCCACTAAGCCATCTCACAAACCCCTCCTTTATATTTCAAATCATCTCTACATTACTTATAAAACCTAATACAGGGCTGAAGAAAAGGCTCAGCAGTTAAGAGTACTGGCTGCTTTTGCAGAGAATCTGGGTTCAGTTCCCAACACCCACATAGTGGCTAACAACCATGTGTGACTGCAGTCCAGGGGATTCTTCACCCTCCTTTGGCCTCCATAGGCACTGCATGAAATGGATACAGGCAAAACACTCATACACAAAAAATGAAAATGAATTTAAAAACACAATACAATATAAATGCTATGTAAATAGTTGTTACACTCTATTGTTCAAGAAATGACAAAAGTCTGTACATGTTCATCACAGATACAACTTTTTCCCCATATTTTCTATCTGTAGTTTCTTAAATCCACAGATGGAGAACACACAAATATGGAGAGCTATAATTATAAAATTATAGTAATTCTAATGATTACTGATCTAAACAGACTCATAGCATAATTATAGAAGAATGAGGGTAGAAAATGTCCAAGTCTGTGATTGGGAGGGAGAGGTAAAGAACTAACTCCTAATCTCACACACTTGGAACTCAACCAAATATACCCCCAAGTAGAACACTTAAGAAGGGCTTCCACTAAGTAAATGGAAGACACGCTGAAGGAACAGCTGTCAGCACTAAAGAAATTGCTGCTGGTGGGACAGGAGTGAAAAGGGGTGAAGGAGGACTTCTATTTCTATACTAATCTTAATAAAGCAACAAGGACCGGAGCCCACCTGGAGAAACTGTGTGAACTCCGTGTAGTTCAGGTGTTTCTTCCGGTTGTGTCCAAAGTGCAGTCGGATGAACTCACAGTCCCAGTTAAAAGGGATATGATGGTGAATAATAGTCTGTCCAAAAATTTCCTTGACATTTTCTTAAAAGGGAAAACAAAAGCCAATCAGTTACACCTGGAATAAGTCAATTAATCCACTGCAATGTTCCTACAGAAAAAAATTAAGAGAAGTTTTAAAAGTCAATCTCATCTGCTTCTAGTAAGATTAACTGCAAATCTCTTCTTGTGCCCAGAAACCCATGCAGAAACACAATTGATACAAAATATAATTTTACACTTAATATTGTGTACCATTACATATAAGGCCATGATATTCTTAATTTCTCTTGATTTATTTTTAATTAGGAAGTGATTTCTATCTTGCACTATAAATGGCTGCTACTTTACACTCCAGCGTAAAATCAATAGTGTTTTCCTGGTTCCTCAAGGAGTCGAATTAAGCCTTTTATCAGAAGCATGAATACCTAAATTATAGTATAATGCAATATTTGTCATACTAAGTATGGTTTGATTGAGGCTTGATTATTACATTCACACTAGCCTGAATATGTCTATTGAAGATAGGTATAAGAAATACTACCAAAAGAGTATCATTAGCTCAGCAGCAAGCACCTTATTAAAAGCTTCTGATAGTGTCAAAAATATGGTCTTGACACAAAGCTTCAAAATCCCCATAAAATCCAAGATTATTAGTCTGAACTATTAAAATATTTTAAGATAAGTGAAATTAGTGATTTACTTTTCAGTGAAGAACCAAACACGGTACACTAATTCCTCCACAGTTACCAGCCACACTGCACAATATACAACCAAACCCTCTGCTATCTGTTTTCATGCACTAGCAAGATCACTCGTCTTACATTTACTATGAAAATCAGTTCACAGATGACTGGTACTTTAGCAAGCATAAAGTGGATACACTAATTTAGAAGCTCATGCCAAAAAAAAAATTATTAACAAAGTTAAGAAAGCAGGAAGCCCTTTTACTAATGCCTTAAGAACTAAATTATTTTCAAATTTAAGCCAATTTTATTAGTGAAAGGCTATTATCAATAGCTATCAATTATACTAGAGAATTAGTAAATACATGTTTATTGTTTTATAATCACCTCCAACTATGCTGTTTTCTGTAATTTCTGCAGGTTCTTTCGATATGACACTGATCTCATTGCTGGCAATGGTATCATGATTCTCTTTGCTTTATATACCCCTTTTCTCAGTGAAAGCATTACTATTGGGTGGCAGAGTGTACGAATTCTAAACTGGAAATCCTACCAGTCTGGACTCAGAACAACAGCTCTAGTTTACAGGAAGCAGCAAAGTTGAAAGATGACATTGGATGTCACTGGGGAGATGGGATTCTCATCTTTCCTTTCAAATGGACACAGGATGCGTTTCTTGACTAAGTAGCAACAGAATTTCAAAGCTTCAAATCATGTCAAGTATGTTTATCTTACATAAACTAAACACTATATGGGATTTCTGTTCTAAAAAGACCTCAGTAGCAATTCATGAAATTCTGGTTTTAATCAACATAAAGGATTATCCTTAAAAGTAGGCATGGGGATGTAGCTTGTGTAGTATGCTTGCCTACCATGCATGATACCATGGGTCCAAACCCCAGTACTCTACACCCCTGCCCTGGAAAAAGAAGTGTATGAAATTTTATGCCGTGAGGTTAAAGCTTATAAAATAATATAAAATGTTTAGAGTTTTAAAAAAAATGAGGTATCAGTAAAGTTTTTTAGAATCAGATTAGCTGCTTCTGCTCCCAAATTAACCAGCTTAACTACTTGTTTTAAAGATTTAACCAAAAAAAAGGTGCTAAAATTAAAAGAGGAAAAATTTAATGAAAAGTAGGATAGCATAAATTGCTACATTTATGAAATAATAGTAAAATTGTTAAAGAAAATAAATTATTTCATGATACCCTTTATTTTTAAAGGTGACAACTCCAAAATTTCAATTATTTAATACAAAATTTACATATTGCTACAAGCTTGAGGCTATTTAGCAAGACCCTGTCTCCAAAAAGAAGAGAATGTACATATTGCTGCCTGAATAGTTTTTATGGAATAGTAGATACAAATGAATGCCTTTTATATTAGGAAAATATCTGAATCTGAAATGTGACACGGCATCAAATAAAGTCAAAGGCTCAAAAGCCTTCAAAGAAGATTTAATTACAAGCTAAATTTTTATTTATATATTTGTTTGTGGTAATGGGGATTGAACTCAGGGCCTCATGCATAATAGGCAAACATTTCAACACTGATCTACACCCCTGCCCCAGATCTTTTTTATTTTTCTAATTTACTTTAATTTATTTATATATTATGTGTATGAGTGTTTTGCGTGAGTAGGATCCCCTGGAACTGGGGTTACAGACAGTTGCTAGCTGCCATGTGGATGCTGGGAACTGGACCCAGTCCTCTGGAAGAACAGCCGGTACACTTAACCTCTGAGCCATCTCTCCAGCCACTATTTTTTTTTATTTTTGAAACAGGATCTCACTATGCAGCCCTGGCTGGCCTGGAAGTCACTATTAGACCAGGTTGGCCTTGACCTCAGAGATCTACCTGCTTCTGCCTCCCAAGTGCAGGCATTAAACGCATGTGTCATCACACCCAGCTTCTCTTTTAATTTTTATTTTGAGACAAGGTCTGATTTTCCCAGGTTGGACTAGGACGTGCTCTGTAGCCCAGACAGGCCTTGAACTTGAACTTAGAATATTCCTGCTTAAGCTTCCAGAGTAGTTAGAGTTACAGGCCTGCACTATCAAGCCTGGCATGATTTTGTTTTGTTGTGGTTTTTGAAACAGGGTCTTATATTGTCACCCAGGCTGGCCTTGAATTCTTGGTAATCCTCCTGATTCCACCTCCTGAAGGCTGGTATTACAGGTATAAGCTACCATGCTGGTCTCACAAACTAAATTTATAGTAGGGGGAAAAAATCATCATAATTAAAAAGTTTTTTTTAGTGCTACTAATGATCAAACCCAGGCCCCCACCAATGCTAGGCAAGCACTCTACAACTGAGCCACACCCCAGCTCTATAATAAAAACTTTAACTGGAAACCTTGTCTCGTTAACATCCTAGCAATCTAAACTCTTAGAATGCCTTTTGAGCAATTAATGACCTAAATTACTCAGCAATCTCTCCAAATGCAGAAGTGGCATTTTCCATGAGTAGTATTTGGATTTTCCCTGCTTCTCCCAAAGCGGTCCCTTAACAGCTCTGTACACGGTTTCATGGCGACATGGTGTATTAACTATTCTAAGATACTTGTAATTCCATTAGTCAACCACAGGCTACAACTGCAGTTACTAGGACTAATAAAACTGTAAACTTATTCTGGTACCTCTTGAGATGTACTCTACAAATCTTGTTGCTATTCTACCAGGTCCCTAAGCCTAGTCCAGGAATGTCCCAGAAATAATCCATGCTACAAACTGCTTTGAAGTCCAATTTGTAATCACCACTCTTCTTTTACAGAAATGTGTTGACTAAAAAAGTTATATGAAAGTCCCAGAACTAAGGAGTTTAATACTGTGTGAGGGAACAGCTTGATCAGCTGATGTTCTTTTCTCCCTTGGTTTTAGAAGGTCTTACTTGTGAACGGGAATAGCAATAATCCCAGATATACCTGACTCATCCACTGCAGCTGCTTAACAAGTTTCCCACCCAGAGAGAATCCCGTCTTTCCAGTGGCAAACAAGGATCTTTAGATCTAAATAGTATTCTTTTCAACTGCTATTTCAGTGGCCATAGCTATGGTCTGGATGGAAGGGCTATGACAGTCACATCTTGGCAGCAAGATCATGATCCAGGACTAGGTTAGCATTCTGTTCACTTCTGACATACAGAAACAATAGAGCATTTTTTTTTCACTTCCTGCAGAGCATGGCTTAGGAAAGGGATGTCCTATAATTCCATTGAAAAGGGAATTGGGGCCAGATAACAAAAGTAGCCTGTCATTATGTTCTCTTTGCTCAAAGGAGAGGAGCACAATGATTTGTCAGGAAGGCAGGTAATGGTGACAACTGTGATTAAGTAAAAATGTCCAGAGATGTATATTAGTCAGTTTAGCTGTATCAGTCACTTATAAAGATTGGACTAGATGAATTACACATTGAAGCATATAAATTATGTAAATATGTTTTAACAGAGGTTTCCATTTCCCCAGCAGCCCACACTGTGTCTCCCCATCTCATCCACCCTCATCCCTCCCCTGCTTCTTATGGGAGACTTCCTACAGGTCTTGATCACCTTTCTTCAGTACAAAATTACCTCTGACCGGGGCTGGCACTCTTCTCCAAGACTGCCACCATGCCTGTTCCATGAATGAGCCTGGAAGGAGCTGCTGTACCAACGGTGTGGCCAGAGAACTCCTCCTGTAGGTATACAAGCCATCAGCCCTGTGACATAGCCCACCTACCATCAGCCCAACTTGACATTCTGATTCCAAGGATTCCAGCCCAGCAGGAACCACTGCTTCCAACTTAAAGACTTAAGACCAACCATTCTTATGGCCAGGGAGCAAACGTTCTCAATAGCTGGGTTTCACCGGCACGGTTCTTAAAGTGGTCAAAGAGGCTCTTAGGATACCCATGGTGAATGGTGGCTATCCTTGTGTACAACTCAACAAACACAATGGTGAGACTTCTGGAAGTACTTTTCAGTCAAGGAAAAATTGGGAGGAAGGAGGAAGAACAATCAGGAGGCCAAAAAAGAAAACAAAAGAAAACAAACAACAACAACAACAACAACAACAAAGAAGACCAACATCAGGAACTTGTGGAGGAAGTCCCAACCAACAGCATGTAGACTCAGTCACAGCTTCCAGGTTCTACTCCCAGGTAGAAAGTATTAGTGTCCTGGGTGAACTCCCTGTTACTCTGGGGGAGAACATTTCTGTTAGCCCTTTACCTACCTCCAGAAGGGATTACTGTACAATCAGTCAACAGAGTAGTCCTGCTGCCAAACATATATAAAAGTACATTTCTCAGGAAAGATGAGTTCATAGTTAAAGAACATCTATTATCACAAAAGCTACAACCATCAACAGTCTACCATCAAGTGGCATAAAAACCAGTGAGTTCTGTCTTTTAACCTCAACCTAAAACACTTGAGTAGCCTTGTGTATTTTTTTTTAATGGTCCTCTCTGTGATGTCTGAAAGCAATACAAAGAATCTGAAAAATTCTTCCTGATATAATCAAACACCCATGTGAAATTCTACTGCATACCAAATTATCCTAGTTACTTGTCCCATTTGAATCTCACATCATTCCAAGTCTACAGTTTCGATTTCACCGAGAACGAGTATAGCATTCTTGGTATTTCACTACCATGTCCTGACACTAACAACAGTGGTCATGTCTTCCCTTGAGGGGACAGCCAATTTTAGAGGCACAAATGTAACACATTTTTATTTGCTGTATGCTGTGCATACTGACAGCCAACATGGTAGTAAATCAAAAGATACCCTTGCTTTTGAAGGTTTCTACAGAATGGGCGTGTCCTTGGGAAAGTTCACTCTGAAGAGTTCCCAGCCCTAGGCAAACACTTTGGAACACAATGTGAATGAGTGTTTAATAGAGAATCCATAACATTTAACATGCTTTTATTGTTTATTAATTAAGAAATAAGAGTTTCGTTTCTTTACTGTTTTCAGAAGGGAGGCCTAGAATTTGTTAAAGTGATAAATACTTTCATTTAAAACTTGAGACAAATGCATGGCAGCACGATGCTGTATTACCACTTAATGCAGGTTAGGTTACCTCAACCTAATGCAGCAGGATACCAGGACAGAGTGGATAACAGTGAGATATAAGCAAGTGGACACTGTCTCTAGCTCATACCAGTCATGCAATGGCCTCTATAAGGCTCATGCCATTTGGCAGTAACAGATATAAGCCATTGAGTAATTATCCACAGCATGCATTAGAAGTTTTATTAAAGATCATCAAAGAGGAGACAATTAACTAATGCTTTTAGTTAACAAAACAAAAACCCATGTCCAGCACTCAAACAAATATTCATTGTTGCTATCTACAAAGATGCATATAATTTAAATATATACCGATGTATATAAAAAGCTTATCTAAAAACAATCAAGACTGGGAGTGGTGGCCCACACCTTTAATCCCAGCACTCAGGAGACAGAGGCAGGAGATTTCTATGACATGGGGACCAGCCTGGTCTACATAGTGAGTTCTAGGCCATGTGGGAGACCCTGTCTCAAATTAAAAAAAAAAAAAAAAAAAAAAGGCACAGAAGAGAACAGTATGCATAAGCACATAACAATAAAAGCCGTCACGAGGTCTACCAATGGCAAAATGAGTTTCCCTGCCCTATTGCATTTTGCATCCAATATTCCCTCCTAACTTTCATACATAAGAGGAAACTATACCTTAATTAAAAATTTGGCTCCAACTTAAAAAATATATATATATATATATATTGCTATTTGGTACAAGGGATTTAACTCTAGTTAAAATGAATCTCAAATTTATTTTTCACTAAACATGTGCCCATAAATATATAAGCACAATTCATTTTATTAAATAGGTACAAACATGAACACTAACCTTATCACAGATCCAAAACTCTTATAAAAATAAACTCCAAGTTAATTATTTCCTTATGTAGAAAATCTGCAGTCTTAAAAACTTACTGCCTGAAATAAGTGGCTCTTAAAAATCTTCTTATATGGTATTTGCCATATGTAATGATTTCAATGCTTATTTTCTTGAAAACATAAATCAAATTTTCTCTTTGTTATAATTCTTTTCAGTTTAATTGAGAAAATTGGTCTAAAAATGGGGCTGGAGCTTGGTGGTAGAATGCTTACCTAGAATGCATGAGGCCATGGTTCAATTCCCAGGACCACAAAAAGAAAAAAAAGTTATCTAAAAATGGATCCTTAAAACTAGGAATAAGGTCAGGTGTGGTGGCACACGCCTTTAAGCCCAGCACTTTGGAGGCAGAGACAGGTGGATCTTTGTGAGTTTGAGGCCAGCCTGGTCTACATAGAGAGTT